TCCAAGTTGCGTCTCTCAGAAGACGTGCATCGCTGTTATTGACTTAAATTACTGCTCCGTCCGACGAGTCGACTGTCTCAGACGTAACGATTCACGTCGTTTATTCTCGATTCGTCCGAGGCGCGTTCTCGGAGACGGCGTACGGTCTAGCGACCATTATAATCCTCTTACGATGCAAGGCTCCAATATGGCGTCGTCGCGCTTCGCGTCGACGTACGTAAGATCCGGGTGGAACAGGGGGTAGGGCCGCGCGAGAAAAAGGGTCGCCAGTGCAAAGGGAGGACGTGGATGGATGAATGAACGTCGCGATGAGGAGAGGGCGAGAATGCGAAGATGGAAGAATCAAGAGAGAGAGAGAGAGAGAGAGAGAGAGAGAGAGAGAGCGAGAGAGGAAGCGAGGAATAAGAACTTGGAGCGAGTCGCCGGGCAGAAAAATATACTCTTGATGTCGGCGAGACGACAGTGTGTGGCGTCGTGGATGAAACCATCGCCATGGCTGCCTCCGCTGCCGCCGTCTTTTTTCGTTGTTGTCGCGGCGTCCCGTTGTTCTTGCCTTCCATTAAGCCGGCCTGGTATTAATTCCGTAGCAGCGACGAATGAATACACCTGCGCGCGAGATGTCGAGACCTTTGAACGCGGCTTAATGCGCGAGCCCCAGCCTGCGAGCTGCCTCGCGTAAAAAATATCCGCTGATACGCGCTAACGATCCGCGCCATGCCGCTTCGTTGCGCAACGCGGGGGCGTGAAAGTGATTAGGGTGTGGGACTGAAAACTCCGCGGGAACTTCTTGGCTTTTATCTCCCGTCGCTGTACATTCGTTTCGGTGGTGCATTCGCTTTGTCCCGCTTTAAATTGTTCGAACGAAGGGAGAGAGCGAGGAAGGTGGGAGAGGGGAGGAGGGTGAAGAGAGGAAAAAGGATGGAGACGAGAGGGAAGCAGGAGGGAAAGAGAGGGCATTTGGGGAATAACTTGACGATGCGTATGCGAGACAAGGCGTTCGACCGCTCCCGCGTAATTATCGCACGCTCGGACGAGATTCCACCGAAATGCCCGTCGTCGACAATTAAAACATTTTCACACGATGCACCGGCCCCCTCCTCCCGTTTGCGTCGCGTCGTATTTTATTTTCGGGCATTCGTTGTACTACATTTCATCCCCGGGCTTTCAGAAACGCATTAACGCCGCAAATCGCGAGCTGCACCGTGTAGATATAATCTCGCAACAATTCCGCAACGGCCGGCACGGCCGAAAGTTATAAAACAAGTCGTAAATTCGCGAATCCGCCGCTCGCTGCTCGCGATGCGATGTAGAATCTGCATCTGGCTCGTGGCACGAAAATGTTGTATTATTCATACGAATAATCTCGCGCGCAAAGGAGGTACGTGAGGTCGGGACGCGCGAGAACCGGAACACACCGAGCAGTCGATACTTTGGCGATTATTCGTTCGACGTGCTCCCACCCGCTGCAATTTGATTCATCGCATCGCACGAGTGCGCGCGCGCGCGCGCGCGCGCGTATCCTTACGAATATTCCGCAGGCAGCCGACAAACGTGCGAACGGAGTATGATTTAGGAAGGCGAGCTTGCGACGCCGGCCGTTTTGTTCCCGCCGTGAATCTGAATTTTACACGAGTCGGATTCTCTCTCTCTCTCTCTCTCTCTCTCGCGCGCGCGCGTGCTCATCTAATTCCGCGTCTACGTAACCGTGCTTTAAACATGAACGCTGCTCCACGACGTTACATCTAATATCGTATGACTCGCTTACGCAAACCGTGTAACGCGTTAATTAGTTTGTCGCAGGTTCGCGCGTAGAGGCTGCTCGCGAAACCACAGCGGGCGACTCGGGATTGTGAAATTTCTAAGGACGGCTTAGAATCTTGAGGAGCTTACGCGGCACATGTAATTCGAGGAACCGCGAACGAGCGGCCGCCGAGAGGGTCGGCGGCGGCGTTGACCGTTGCCGGAAAGCTCGAGTCGGTACTCGCGTGTTAAATGATGCACGCGCGGCCGCAGATCTCGCGGGATGGAAAATTATGAGAGAGAGAGAGAGAGAGAGAGAGAGCTTCTCCGCGAGTTAGGTAGGAATATCTCCGTTCAATTTTTACCGATCTGCTACGTCATGCAAAAGGATATAGCGAATCGAGGAAAAATCGTATCGCCGTTTCCTCTCGATAAGTGATATCGACAGTTTTTATACTTTACACACAAGCCATTGTTACGTCTCTCTAAAAGCGATATCATCCAAGCGATAACTCTCGATGGCGAATCGCTCAGAATGAACGATGAATGACGACTCTCTCGCTAACAAGTCTGTGTGTGAAATCGATCGAACTAGTCGGACGCGGCGAGTCCGAGCGCTGCTTAAAATCGCATAACACCTGCGTGAAGGACATTTTATCTCGCGACATTGCTCTTATCCAAATTTCGATATCGAATCGCACCGACGATGTTAATATCGGTCGCGCGGTTGGCCATTGGCATTCGAAGAGCGCTGTTATTTTTCCGCACTTGTACCCCCCCCCCCCCCGCTCCCGAACACTTCTGTTTAAGAGCGTCCCAATTCACCACGAGCACCTTCGACAACTTCGACATCTTGCTCGACAGTAACCGGGTCGACCGCCGCGTGTGTTATTAAGTCCAATTCGGCCGATCGATTTTTTCAGCACCTGTTTTTGCGCCAATCGCTCCTGCGCTGTTCACGTCTACGTGTCTCGCCGTGAGGAAATGGTGCGCCGGACACTCGATCCCGTCCGTAAACTTAATTGTGAGCGCGGTGGAATTGCTTTCTGCTGATCCGCTTCATTCAGGCGCTCGGATAAGGGCGCTGTTTCGCGCCCGACGGAGAATGTACGAGAGTACATCTCGCGCTCGTCTCTCCCAGGACGGGCGACACACATGTGTCGCTTTCGCCGGACATCTCCCTTCATCCGCGATTTTTTTTAATTACAAATTAACCTTTTGCGATAATAATCCGGGATGTTCGAGTCCGGGATATTCCGGCTTACGAGAGAGGATCAGAAGGAACAAAAATGGCGATATTCTTTCTTCGAGCTCGATCTTTCTTCAAGAGGGAAAATTTTCATCCATTCAGGCGGACGTAAGAAACTTGTCTTACGTGATCGAGAGTTGCCTCGTTTAGAAATCCCTATGATCCCTATGAAGCCAGAGACACGTATAGGGGAAAGACAGACGATACGGAATACTACTTTTTAATTAAAATTTCGTCATTTCTGCCCCCACCCTCACTCAATGGGATGCAAGTATATTCCTTGCAACCCTTTGCATCCGCTTCAAGGCGTACACGAGTGGAAGCTTGAAAAATATTCATCCAAGAAGTAGCGGGAGATGAGCGCAGGTAGAAGGAGCGCGCCCTTGTAAATCGTTCGTGTATGCATACGAAGTGCACAAGGGCTGTGTGTGTGTGTGTGTGTGTGTGTGTGTGTGTGGCGCGCGAGCAAATCACTCTTTGGCTTTGCGATGAGCCAGGGATGCAACAGCGCCGTGAAGCGAATCGAACGTTCCAGATTCGGCCTCTTTGAATGAAATTTATGAAGGGACACGGGTGGAAAAAAGAAACGCGGTGAGATATTTCTGCCTCCGCGAAAAGGACGTTGTTCGATACCAGCTTGTTCAGCTTGTTCAAATAACTTGCCACCGTGTGACTCGCACTTTCCCGCGAGCGCGGCGGCTCGGGACTTCGGCCGCCTAACGGGATATCGATATGTCGTATATTCGCGTTTATCTGCTCGCGCTGCCACTTACAAAACGCTCGGGATCTCTCTCGCTCTCCCCGCGGAAATGGCAGGAACCGTCTTTGTCCAAGCGGCGTACGACTTCGCAAGTTTCTCGCGACCTGACTCTTTCGACGACAAACAGTTGCTGCTCCCAAGTGATGACACGCGATAAGAATCAGCGAGAATGCTCGAATTAACGCGACAATGAACAACCGACCGAGCGCGTTTCAAGGAAAAGCAAGAAAAGGAACCGACCGTTAAGGAAAAAAGGTAAGAGTCTCTGCTTCTTAAATTGGACTCCAATAAGAAGCAGAAGTAGCGCTTTCCTCGAGCAAAATGTGTTCGCTTCGTTCATCGCGTCTCGTTGATTCCAGCGAATCCTCCTCTCCGCGCGGACGCTTGAGAAACACCTGGACAATTTTCAGATATACATGAGAGTTCATTCGACAAGAGACGAAGCGACTACGAGAGGCAACGTCTGGAAGAGACGTTAGGCGGCGAAGCGTCGCTTATAATCGCGTCATAAGAGCCCCGGAGTCGAGGAAGCGCTTACACTCGACTCTGCTGAAATTCAGCACGTGGTCACGCCGAACACGTCGCGTTTTGTGCTAAACGGACCGTTAATACGCCAAATCCCGTAGAGTCATCCGGCGCTGTTCAAGGACCTCGGCGAGGTCGAGGACCTTCGTGGCTCGCGTCGAACAGCAAAAAATGCGCGCGCGCATCGACACGACGAGAGGAAGGAGACAGAGAGAGAAAGAGAGCGAGAGCGAGAGAGAGAGAGAGAGAGAGAGGGGGGGAGGGAGAGGGAGAGAGAGCATTCCGGATATACAGCCAAGCTGGTGGCACGCATCGCATGTTTCACGATTATGTACGTCGCTCGACGCGCACCGTCTGGGAGGACTTTTCATTGAGCGGACAAGCCCCCAGGCACGGATTCGAGAGGGAGGAAAAAAAATTGTCGATACGGCATAGGGGATTGGCGTGTAAGCGGGATGGGACTCGAGGGAGGGGAGGGCGCGGTACAGGGTGAGTTGGACGTAGAACGGGCAGTCTGCCAAGAAGGATCCGGGGGTTGAGGGGGAAAGGTGGGACGAGGTCCGAGCTATGAGAACGAGGGACAGACAGAGGGCTGTAGAGGGCGAGGGAGAGGCGCGAGGGCCGGGTATGAGGTGGGCGGGGGAGGAAGGGACAGAGGGATCGTAGTTGGCTCTGGAATAGCGGAACGGATGGGTTGATTGATTGGCCACGCTTGTATTGTTTCAGGAGGAAGCTGAATCGACGTAACGCTGCACACCAGAATGGCCGGCTGGCCGTTCAGCGCCGCGCTGCTGTTCAGCATCCTCATCCTTGTTCGCGGTAAGTAAGAACACGAGGGCCGTGCGCGCTCTCTTGGTGCGAGGCTGAATGGCAGGAAGGCCGACGGCGAGCCCTTGCGTGGGCCGTGCCCCATGCAAATGATCCGGGGCCCGTCTCTCGTGCTCGTTACGATGGTAATTCGGCCGCGCGCGCTCTGCAAAAATCAATTTCTTCGGCTTTAAATCGCCCGACTCGGCGGCGGCTCCGATGGCGGGATTTAATGAATCCGCCGATCGCGAAAGGAGAGCCCGTTCGCTCGCCGTTCGCCCGCCCTGAAAGGCCGAGGCTTTCGCTGTTCGCGGCTGCAATTAGCGCGGGATATATCGACTCACGGCCGTCACGCGCGACAGGACGCCTGTGTGAAGCGCCTTTGTAAATCGCGATAACCGACCGAAGCGCCATTGATCGACGATGGTAATGGTTGAAGTGAGATCGCCGTGCGTTACACAGCGCGTCCGTGAGAGTCTCGCGCGAATGAGGGTCTCGGAAAACACAAAGCGACAAAAATGGCGAGATTGCCGTAATCAGTCGTAATGACAGAGCGCGCCGTGCCGGGGTACCGCGTGGTTCTCCCGCGATAAAGGACGCGACTCGGTTATTTCAGATCATACGCGGAATTTAACAACGTCATGTAATATAGCGTGCCGCGCTTGCAGGCCGGCGCGAGCTGTAATCTGTGTGTGTGTGTGTGTGTGTGTGTGTGTGTGTGTGTGGCAGCCCTGGGCTGCCTTTGCGGCGGAAATAAACGTGCCGGCCTATTACCAGCGAGCGCGCGCGTTCTACAATTCAAATGCACGCATTCGCAACGTGCCTTTTACATTTCGTAACCAGATTCGACTAATTTGCGATTACATCCGGGAAAGCTCCTTTCCCGCCCCGTATAAATAAACACGCGACGGCCGTTACGTCGCGTTATTGCGAATAAGGCGATTCCGCGGTATATACATTTGTCTGCGAAACGTTATTATTAAACTTGTTGGGGCAGACTTTGCCCACCGAGCAAAGTCGTAAACAAATTCTGCAGATTGGAAAATATTTACGATAGAGGGGAAGCTAAAAATTTATCGACAACGTCATTGTATGTCGCTTGAAATATACGCTGTAGTCGATTTCACCCTTCCCCGCGAAAGTGCCGAAACATTTCGCCATCGAATGTCAGGTAAATCGTCCAACTCGCGTCTCCACAAGTTTTCATGAAACTTTCATCGATACTTCATTCGAAATGAACGTAAGAAATATAAATCGTTCTCAATCCACGTTAAGTCTAAATTTATCGAAAACAGAACAGCGCGTTGTTATTTCCACGTGCTGACGCGAGTACTCGCGCAGCCGCACGGTCAGATCGAGGCGTATCCGGCGCAATTTACATCCCGCAAATACACATCCAAGAAAAAAGTAATTTCAGAACAAGCGGAATCATTCGAATTTCAAAGGATTTTACCCTTATACAGATTGCGTGAAAAGTTCGCGGAGCGAAACTGAAGTAAAGAATACCTAATTCTAAAATTCTAAAAATGATTTTATTCTTCAATATAGTCTCCATTAACTTCAATACACTTGGCCCAATAGCTCTCCAATAATTTTATTTCATCGCGGAAGTGTGTTTGTGAAAGGTCTGCGAAATATGCCTCTACGGCTGCTATAGCTTCTTCATTCGACAAAAAATGCTTTCCACGGAGGAGTTGTTTCAGGTTTCGGAACAGATAGAAGTCGCTGGGTGCCAAATCTGGCGAATACGATGGATGATCAAGCAATTTGTACTTCAATTCATTGAATTTAGACATTGACAAAACACTTTTGTGAGCAGGTGCGTTGTCTTGGTGAAAAATGATTTGTTTGTGTTGCAAACCAGGTCTTTTCTCACAAATTTTTGCGTCCAATTGATCCAAAAGGTTACAATAATATTCAGAGTTAATTGTTTTACCTTTTTCCAGATAGTTAATTAACAAAATCCCTTTAGCATCCCAAAAAACTGATGCCAAAACCTTTTTTGCCGATCTTTCATGCTTTGTTCGCTTTGGAGCTGAACATCCAGCTGCAGTCCATTGTAAACGTTCCTGTTTCAATTTAGGATCATGGTGATAGATCCAAGTCTCATTCATAGTTATAAAACGACGCACAAAATCGGTTTTATTCTTCTTAAAACTATCCAAATGACTCTGAGAAATTTGCTTTCGAGCGAGTTTTTGTTGAATTGTTAACGTATGCGGCATCACTTTTCCAAACACCTTTTTCATTTGTAATTCTTTATGCAAAATATGCCGTAGCCGTTCATCTGAAATGCCTATGGTATGAACAATTTCACGCGTAGACACACTTGGATCTTCAGAAACAATAACATGTATTTGCTCAATGATTTCTGGTGTTGATGCGCTTTTTGGACGTCCACTGCGTGGATCATCTTCAATGCTTGTACGACCACGTTCAAACTCAAGTGCCCATTTACAAACCATTGTTTTTGGAGGAGCAGATTCCCCTGACACATTTACCATCTCGGAATGAATTTCCATTGTCTTTAAACCTTTTTTAACAAAGAACTCAATCACTGCACGCTGTTTCAAATTTTCCATTGCAAACAAGTATACTGACACGTCAACTTCAATTGGCTTGTAAACACAGAAAGAATTGACAGATGGAAATGAAAGCTAACCTAGGTTCATGTGAAGAGTGATTCTATATAACCGACTACAATTTATAATTATACCGTTTACTTATAGATGCCGCTCCGCGAACTTTTCACGCAACCTGTATATGGCCTCAAGAAGATTCCTCTAAAAAATTAAGAAGGAAATATTACAAACACATTATTCTTAAAGTTAGAGGAATTATATGTTATATGTATAATGCAAATCTTATTGATTTTAATATAAATCTCCTCTTATGCACAGATTATTTAATCTTTTTTTTAAGAGGATTATTATTTATTCTTACCGGTTAATTTGAAAAAATTATTATAATATACTGAAAAGTAATATATATATATATATATATATAGATGCACTTTTAGTTTACCAGTTACACAATAAGTAGGCATGAATGAAATAAGATCATTATAACAAATAAATTTCCGATCAGTTTTGTTATGGATTTTATAGCTACAAAGATGTTCATCATAACCAACTGTATAAAACATAGTTAAAAGAAAGAATATATTATATTCAACTTCTTGCAATAGATTATAAACTGCATTTGATCAAATATAAGTAAATTATCTTCGTTATATGTCACAGCAACGCACACATATCTTTTTCAAAAAGCGTTCCAAATATCCTGAGCCACGAGCATACGAGCCCATGAGGTTATTATCTTTTCGTTCATGTCTGAAGGTCGATCATAACTGAACAAAAGAAGGGGGGGGATATTCGAATCAACATATTCATATAAGAGGAAAATTAATTGGGATACGAGGAAATCTTCTCGAAATAAGAGGAGAACAGTTGGAATAACATCTATGAGACTATGAGAAAAATCACTTTGCAAATAGAATACTTTTTTTTGGGTGCACGCTTCATATACGCTTCGGTCGAATTTTTCATTCGATTTTTGCGGCCGTGCGCGAAACGGCTCGCTCTACGCGCTCTACGTGTTCGTTACTCGCCGCATACACGACGCGCCGCTTCCCTTGCGCGCGCGTCCTGGTCAACGGGCGGCTGCGAATGCTCTCGTTTGCGGAGCCCCGAAGTGTCCTAGGGTCCGATTGATTTCCTGCCACTTCGCAGCCGCTCGACGTCGGCCGCCGCGTCGCGCCGCGCCGCGCCGCGCCGCGCCGCGTCGTCGAAAGAGCGTGACGAAAGCGGCGGCCGCGTGGCGTGGCATCCGCTTAAATTATGGCTCCGACAGTTTCGTTTATTCCGGAATCCATTATCCCGCGCCCCGCACTCGGGCAGCGGGCAACTTTCGGGCGCAATTTGTAACCCTACGCCCGCGCCGTGCAGTTACTTCTCACTCGCGCTTTGTAATCGAGAGGATTCTGTCCGCGCTCGCTCGCACGCTCTCGCTTCGTCGTTACACAACTTTGGCCATTAATAACTTTCCTTTTCGTCGAATTTCCTGATCGTTAAACTGGCACATCCGCTCGGGCACTTCGTCAATCATCGTGACGTCGCGGGGCTGTTCTCGAGAAGTTGCTCGTCTTCGGCATCGCGGACGACAACGTTACCGTGCCGCCGCGCGTGTTAGGCTCGCCGCTAAGTCGAGCATTCCTCCGAGACGAATGTCTCAAGTAACTTGCGTTATATGTATACTAGGAAAAAAGATTTAGTATCTCTGACAAAACTGTTTAGTTGAGGCATTTTTTAACCAAATATCTTGTTATTATTTTATATATTTTATATTTTATATTTTATATCTTGTTATTATTTAGCAACCAAATATCTTGTTTTATATAACAAAATATTCAGTTGTCTCAACTAAATATATTTTTCTGCTTTGTTCCCTGGATCAAATGATTTTGTTCTTAGACTTCATGTATGAAAATTAAGCGTTTTAGTTATTTTATCCATAAAAATTACATAATAACGAAATATTCATTTTACTCATCAACTAAAATAATGTCCAATGGATACTATTTTGTCTTTCTGTGCACTAAAATTTAGATTTTATATATTAAGAAAAAATTGTAGTATTTTTAACAAGATTCATACAGTTAAAGCTTTTTGGTTGTTATAACAAAAGTATCGCGTTATACGAACAAACCGTAATCAAACAAGATATTTGTTTACAGGAACTGAACAGTTTTGGTGGGGATATTTTAACCAAATTATTTTGTTGCTACAACAAAATTTTGGTTCACGCGACAATACATTTTTCCTAGTGTAGAAATCAGAATAGATATTTTATGATTGATTTCGTATTCTTACGACAACACAGTTGAACTTGTAGACTCCAGACAAAGAAATTGATATATTTATTTTCCATGTAATTATTTGTGTGCAAATCTCTCGCATCTCGTGTATCGATCGGCGATGCTTGCTTGCTTCATTCGTGAGCACCGGGGGTGG